ATGTGGTTTAGAACCGTGAGCACTTCAGTTTTACTGTATTGCACATGTGCTCTTGCTAATCGGAGGAGAAATTAAAAATACACAAAATAAAAAAGAAAGCCGCTAACTTGTGGAGAGCGCCGTCACACGGGCCGCTGCGACTGCTCGCGCCATCTTAATTAAAATGACTAAAAATGACTAAAACAAAAAGCACGAAGTGTGGCTTAGTGAGAGCTGAAGACATCATTTGAAACCAGCGAAGTCTAGTCTATTATTAAGAAAAGGTTGATCAATACCAACAGCGTTGAACGTGAGTCAGAGATACACAAGTAAAGTTTCGTTTCGTTCATTTCGTTCATTTCATTTCATTGTCAGAGTTTCAGAGGTAACGGCTGTGTGACTGAACACGTTTCAACGAGAATATTCAAGCTGCATTCAACGTGAGACACGACGTGTTCATCACTGTATTCGGACCAACCTCAAAACATTGGCGATCACGGGTTATTAATAAGTCTCTGTAAACATGTCAGGTTACATACGGGTGTTCACGAACTAGAGTTCCCTGGGTTTTTATATTAAACTCGAATACGTTACATGCCGCAACATCAAAAAGAACACTGTGTGAAACAATCTTACAAAAATCCCAATTTACCTGACGAATTTCAGAGCACGCAATGAATCATGGGTAAATATGCACTCCATAGAGCCAATCAAATTGCACTGGCTGCTGCTATAGGACGATAAACCAAGGAAGCTGCGACACTGGTCAGGTCAAGACACGCCTACCTAACACAGGGACGTAGGCAGGAGATTCAGACTACAGACTACTATGCACTTGGTAGTGGTGATCAGTCAGGTGAAAAAGTCTTCTGTTATTTCTGGTTAATGTCCATCAGATGAAATGTTGGGCAGGTTTCTTGAACTGTGTCAGGTGAAACTCTTAAGTACCTGCTTTTTAAATTCTACCGCACTGCTCCCTCTAGTGGTGGCAGGTTTTCCCAACTCGATCATGACTTTCACACAATTTATGCATGGAGCAACATACAAAAAAAAAATTCTATAAGTTAATGTCGCTAAATGTTTACAATTTTGAATTTTTAAAGCAATTCTAAAATTATTAGGGGTCAATTGGTGCTATAAAGATAACGTTCAGAGAAGCTGTTGTATTACTACTGTTAGAAAAAGTTGGTCAATACCGAAAGTGAGGGTAAGTTTAGAACTTTCTGGCGTTTTGTGGAGTCCCCACTTTCATCGGACCAACCAGCTTAAACGCTGACGCAGACCTCTTATATAGCGCCTCTTCGACGTATAAATCTATATATCGGTAGTTAATTTTTTTTTCCATGCTGTTTCTGGCTGTTAATGCTAGACTGAAACACTTCTCATATACTAACATGGAAAATAATAATGTATGAAACAAAGTTTACAGTTTACTTGAAGTAATTTACACTCGCAATGACTCATGGGAAACTGGACTGTGCACTGTCCTGTCTGTGACACGGAAATAAACCTCAATACGTCATTATTAAATAAAACTCAGAGAAAGAGTTGTGAATTGAACTTGTTTTTATCTTTAGCAACAATTGATTGACAAAACACTGGTGAAGTTTTTACTTCACCACTTCACCACTGGTGAAACTTCACCAGTGTTAAAGTCTGTCCGTTTGGGTTCACACATTATATCGTTGGAAACGCGGTTTAAACTTCCAATGCACGAAAAGGTTAATCTTGTGACCTGATTAAAAAATAAGCTGATCAATATCTGGCGGTATTGGCCAAAACCAATGACTGCATGTACAGCCACTAATTTCTTGAAGACACAGCCCCATTGATATTCAATTGAGTAATCTGACTTGAGCTTTCTCTCTCTGTTTCCCTTCCTTAAGAATGGCTTATTGACAGCCAGCATTCATGAAAACTGATTTCTGATGAGACTTTAGGGAATAGTAGGGGTATCAGCTGCATGGTCAGATGCATCTCGCTGTTCCATGTCAGGAATTTGGTGGGTTTTTCCTATTTTTTTAAAGGATGTGACTCTCAGATATGGACATTTAAGCCTGCTACTTCTTCCTTCGTATTTATTACTTCTCCATTTATTCATCCATTCACACCATGACAAGATATGTCAAGATTTTGGATAATAGCTCTTTTGGAATCACCTTAGTGCAAAAATACAATTTTAAGTGTTATCTTTGGCACTTTTTCATATTCAGCTTTAGAATTGGAAGCAAATGTGCTTTTTAAAACATGCTGCAAATAACCAAGTACCTAAAGATGTCATTTAAATTTATTCTTTTCTAAGTTTATTATTTCTGTTATGCATGAACGATTTATAGGTCAGTGTTAAGTGGCTTAACAAATAAAAAGTATTCCTCCGAAAATGGTCAGGAACAAGATCCGGAATTAAAATGAATGACAAGCACGAAAAAAAAAACCCCAACCAAACAAACTTTGAAAGCCCTCTACAAAGTCTGGAGAGATATTGCTCCAGACTACTTTAAAAAATAATAAGAAATTCTGGCTCCTTGAAATATTAGTGGGGAGGGGGGCGCTCAAAACTTTTGCACAGTAGGCTACTGTAATGTGCAACGGATGAGTACAGTTAAGCAACAAAAAAACATAAGAGCCAATCAGTGGAACAAAAGAGGAGAAGGGAAGTAATGATGGTTGCAGGGGATAAACGGTAAACAAAAGAGGAACCTTCTTTAGAGATATTCCTGAGCTCTCGTTTCTCTGTCTGCTGCACAAAAGTCTCAGTGATGTGTAGGTCAGTTTCTTGATCGCAATTAAAAGTGTGTGCTTTTTTTGGTGTATGTTTCCAGGTTAGCATTTCCAGTAAAACGCTGATCAATACCGGCAGTGACGGAAAGGCAAGGAGCCCAGACACCGTTTACTCCATGACCCACAACGCAGCACCTTGTGTGAATTACAAGTATTCTCTCATAGTTGTGGTTCATACTTGGCGCCATATTGTGAGACATGGAGCGAACGGTAGCTGATAATCTTGCGAGTCTCAGGAGCTTTTGCCAAAGTCCACTGCCTTCGGACCAACAAGTCGATCACCACAATAGGACCTATAAATAGGGCGCTGTTGTCACATACAGTTACATACGGGTGTGTGCAAAAAGCGAGGGCAGAGGAGTTTTAATACGGAGGTTGAATAAATCACGTATACTGTATCACAGAGAACTTTCCGCAAAGCACTTTAACAAACCTTGCTATCTGTCTGGTTCATTTCATGTCCGCATTGAATCATGGGTAACCTATCCAAATCAGCTACAGCCTTGCCTCCATTTATATTTCTGTGCCAAGACTACCTGGATGCGCTAACGTGAAACCACAAACGTGTGAGCACAGTGTGTGTGTAATAGTTTGTAGGCCACAGATATTTTATACACGTTGGACGGTGTAGTGTAATATGGCTCAGTGAGGAGCTGAGGTGGAGCCACGCCCCCTTCAGGCAGATATGTAGGCAGGTGTATCCACGACATTTTCTTTGTTTTTAAGCAGTTTGGTTTGTTACAAATCTCAGACATGCCTTTCTGCTGCATGGTACTTGACTATTTTTGTGTCATTATATCAAAATATTTATTATTAATATTGTGTCAGGCGGATTAGGGGAGTGTGCTTTACTTAGTAAGGCCTTGTATCTATGAACTGGAACAGATGTCCTGAGCTTAGTTTAGGCTGGTGGAGTAAGGTAGGTGCATCCCTGATTCTGAGCTGGCTGTGTGGATTTCACCTGTCTGTACTGCAACTGTAACATAGGACAAATGAGAGTGCAGACACATATGATGTTTATTCCAGGAGTTTCACACAGGTAATAATACATTTCAGCTGAACTTTAAAATTAAAGACTTCTTGTCTTTACTGTCTGTGATTTTTTTATCCCAGTGATCTGTGGCAGGTTGCACTACAGCACAGTTGGAAATACTGCTGGTGGAAACCTGTAAAATGCTCCAGCTCCACTGTTCTCATAGAAAGGAATTCCTCAAGACATAAACAACACAAACGATTACATTTATTATATATTCTGTTTTATTATTCATATGAAAATCAAAAGTAGTTAAAAATGGCCAATTATACCCTGGACCCCAGAGGGTTAAACATATTCTGTTTTTAAAGTAACGCAATAGTTACTTTTCAAGTAATTAATTACTTTTAGAATCTTGTAACTCAGTTACTAACTCTCTTACTTTTTGAAGAAGTAACTAGTAACTATAACTAATTACTTTTTCAAAGTAACTTGCCCAACACTGCTGATACTTTTGTCTTCAAAACCCACAAAGGACTGGAGCATTAAAAAAACATCTGCTTCACTACACCATGAACTGAGTGTATCCCTCAGCGCCTGTGACGATCACATCCATCCAGATCCTCATGGCCTCGGGAGAGGGAGCAACCATGTAGTAGACCCTATCGTGAGTCTTCACACTGAAGGTCAGGGAGGGGTTTGGGCTCTGAAGGAGGGAGAGAGAATGAATTGTGAATGAATAAGAAAGAGTTATGATGCACTTTTTGTATCAGCGTTGGAGAATGCATACCTTGTGTGCATTCTTCAAGTGATCGTAGTATACTTCTTCAATAGCTTGGAAGTAAATGACTCCTTTCAACTTGACTTCGTGCTTGTCTGGAGAGAACATACGAGTACATGCCAAATTAGAAGAAATACACAACTTTAACACTTATGTGTGTGATTCTATCTACACAGAGAGTTTTTTTAAATTGTTTTTAATCAGACTTTGCTGAGTGTGGTTGCAAGTGTGTGCTGTCCTTACCTGAGTAGTAGGATAGTGTGCGTCTGTTGCGATCAAAGACGAACCAGCGTTTCTTCCACGTTTTGATTTTGATTTTAAAGCAGTTATAAGCAAATCTAAAAAGTTGGTCAATACCAAAAGTGAGGGTAAGTTAAGAAGTCTTGGGAGTTTTCCTCACTTTCATCGGACCAACCATCTTGAACAATGGCACAGACCTGTTAAAAATAGCGCCTCTTCGACATATAAATCTATATACCGTTTATTTGTTTGTTTGTTTGTTTTGTTGCTTTTATGTGGAGCAAACAGAATCATCAGACCAAATGTTTGTCCGGCTTGTCAAAGTGTGTCAGGTGAACCTTGGTTATAAAATGATACAGTGCACTGCTACCTTAAAACCAAGGTCCTGCTATA